AAGTAGAGAGAGATGGAAGGAGGAGGTACTAAGTTGTTTGTAAGGTAGTTCACAGGTACTTGCAGGAGGTGAGAAGGTGGTTTCTAAAAGGGGAGGGGAGGACAGAGAGCGCTGGGTAGATGCACTGAGCTGGCACAGCAGAGGAAGAAAGAAAATATTCCTGGCAGAGAGAGTTATTATGGAAATATATTTATTAGCTCTCCCCTGCTATACACATGTAAGGTCTACTTTGCCCAACCACCCCAGCCATGCTTTTCCATTCTGATTAACTTTAGGCCTTAAGCCAGTTAAGAGCGCCTTAAAAAGCTCCCTTGAGCTGCTCTCTGGAACAAAGCCGATTACAGACTCTGTTCAACAGTTTTGACACCCTCATACTGGGCCAGTGTGTGTCTGAAGGCAGCAGGAGGAAACGGCTCCATAAACCTTTCCCACTGTCACTCCCGAGTGAGTTTGTCACGTTCAAGGGTGAGACAGCCCTTCCATAAGTAACACGCCAGCACTCAAAGGGGTGCTTCACACAGCCTGTAACTCAGCACAACGGGAGCATATTTCATACTTTCAGAAAGTGCTGTTGCCTGCTTTAGCGTTAACACCTCAGTTGGGTCTTTGCTGCGTCAGTATTGACTTACTTCTCATTAAAAATAAATAAATAAAGGGCAGCGCATGCCTACAGGTGTCTCCTTCCCCCTAAATTTGACAAGATGAAAGCTTACAGTTAGGCCGTGTGATTTCACTCATAGTACTGTAATTGCCGTCTCTCTGCTGATATTCTGAGATCTAAAAAGAAAAATGAGGCACGAGAAAGAACCAGCTGACAAAGTCTGACGTTCACTGAACAGTGCTTTGTTAAACCAGACATCAATATTTATTGTGCATCTATCTGAAAGGTAGAGGTGAGAGAGCACAGTAACACTGCTATCAGATTGCCATTTTGGATTCAGTTAACTTGTGTTAAAGTTTTCCTGCTGTTCCGCACCTCATCTTCAGCTGTTCATCAACCCTTCCCTGAAATTACCAGCCTCTCAGAGATGTCAGTGCAACTGCACGTGTAGTCTCTCCATGAGCCAGTTTTGCCGAACTGAGCTGTGTTAGATAACCCCTATTACTGGAAGTGTTTTAGCTGTTGGATTCATTTAGACAGAACTGGGTTAGAAGCAGTTACACATGCCGCTACTTGACAGTTTGGAGAATTCTGTAACCTCCAGTAGTGATGAAATGGGCGATGGGATCAGGAGAAAGTAGAGTGATAACCTCTTAATCTGGCACGGTTGCTGCCCAAATAGTCTTACTTAGCATCAAGGACCTTACGTGGGCAAGTTGCATTCGTTAATACTGAGAAGGTAATATAATTATTATACCTGAAAGCCTGACAGTGTTGCTGTTCTACCTGCTACTTCCTAAAAGTGGCAGAATCAGACTTGCAGTTAGGCTTATAATTTTCTGTTACATTAGGAAAATAGTCTTCTATCGAGAAGGGGTGTTGTGTAACTCTGGAGCAGTCAGTGGCTAAAACCTCAGCAGGTTACCTTCTTGCTCATTAGGTAAAGAAAACAGTTGTCAGAAGTGTTTTACTAAACATTAAAAGTAAGGGAGTCAAACAGAACTAAGATGAGGTGAGTGACAGCAGGTTACAGCGTCTTATTTGTGTGAAACTTTCACTGAGCCTGTGAGAGAGAATGGGATTGGAAGAGGTGTCATAAGCCATGCATTTTTCCTAATAACCTATTAGTATGTGAACTAAAACGTGTCCATATTTTTATGTATGACATTATTTTCAAATTTGACCATGAGAAGGGGTTTTGGTGTCAGCTGCTAGAAGAAGAAAAGACTACGTGCACAGAAGAGTGTGAAAACCAAAAATGTGTCCGTGGACCAGGAGGTAACCTTTAAAAAACTACTGCAGACACTTGGAAGCATATTAGCATTTTCATGTTTACTTAGACTCACGCGTAATAAGTTTAGTTGCTGTAAACTTCAGTATTTAGGGCACTGCAGTATTAATGCAGCCAGAGGATAATATCATAGCTGCAAATACTATCTAGTACAGTATAGTAAAGTCTAGAAAAAGTCTGAATTTATTTTAAAAATAAACCTGATTTTCAGTGCAAAATTGTTTTTGCACTTTTAACTTGATGAAGTCTTTATGAGCAGTTTCCTGAAGGTGAACATTTTTCCTAATCACACTGTATTTTTAAATTTTCTCAGTCCAGATCCTTTTTGGCAAGCTTATCCCTGGGCTGTCCAACCTGTGTTGCTGCACAGATTGGGGCAACCTCTCCCATCCTGACTGAGACAGGAGCTATAGAAGGTGAGATGGCATTGAACATGGAAGGGAAATGAAGCGCTCCTGTCACATGGGAGACTTTCATACAGCCTAAAAGATAAATATAAACCAAAACCTAATTCATTAGGTGCAGACACTTGGAAGCATATTAGCATTTTCATGTTTACTTAGACTCACGCGTAATTAGTTTAGTTGCTGTAAACTTCTCTCAAGGGAATAAATTACTGAAAAAAATCCCTTCCCAAATACTGTATTTAGTGAGGTAAAACAGCAGATCTTAAAAGAACCACAGCAATCCAGACGAAATGGAACATTGTCATGTAAAGCATTATCCCATTTTTTTCCACCAGGAAAATGGTTCCAAAACAGGAAGAAAAGGAGTAGGACTCCAAGAAAAAGAGGCTGGTTCTGACACTTTAAATCGGTATTTAAGAATGGAGGTGGTAGGGCATTGGCTTGCCTCTGAAGGTGGCTAAAGGACATACGAAACCAGGCAAAGATACTAATTTCACATTACAGTTTCTTCTAAGCAAGGTAATCCCATGTATGTCCCACTGACAATGTGCACTGTGTTGCATATGTCCAGACTGATTAAAATGTAATTCTGAGCATTAAATATGGTACATTACAGAAGGGTAAAAATAGTGAAAGATCCGACTCTGGGGATCTTTTTAAAAAAATTGTATGTGTTTCTGGCTGGTAATTCTGCCTTGAAGAATGAAAAAAAAATGTTCTAAAAGTTATACACCCCCCCAATTTTAAGAAAAACAATTAAAGACAAAGCCTAGTCTAGGACATACTTAGTGAGCGGAGCACCTGACCACGTGTTTAAGACCCAGTGACAAGAGCAGCATTTCAGCATGTGTGTTGAAGTGTATATGCTTTGGTGGGTACAAGAACTGTTTCTTGGGCTGACAGCAGTGGCAGGAGAAAGGAAAAAAAAAAACCTGCTTGTGGGAGGGCTGCGTCTCTTGGTACTTCTGTGTATTACGTTTTGTAGTTCTGTCCGAGTTCTGTGAACAGATGTGTTTTTATAAACCTAAATAAACAACCCAGAGAGCACATAAACACCTGGGATGGCTACCAGACGGGTGGTCATCTGTTTGAGCCTTCAATTGCATTTTCTCTATAATTAGTTGTCTAATTACTTGTCCAGAGTTGCAGCTAATGTATTTACACCTGTAATTAATTATACTTAAAAAAAAAATATATATATATATATCAAGCAACCATTTTCAGTTGTTTGTCCTTTTTACTTCATTTGTGGAGTGTCAAGCTATCATGCTACTGAACTACTATCAGATTTATTTATGGACTACATTATGACTCCATTCTGGATATGTCCGTAGAAGGACATATGATACCTAACTATTTCTCAGGCTAAGTAAGGAAATAATGAATATCAATTGCAACTAAGTTAAGCATTGTAGCCAGTGGTAGGCAGGGCAGGAATACCTCAAGGGTACCTCCAAGGCTGGAGAGAGAGCTGAGATATGCTAGCTAGCCATGATTTTTATTCTATTTTTTTTTAATTAAGAAGTGGGCCCCGTTGACTTGTAACAGTATGTTCAACTTTCTGCAAGCTGAATTTGGAGAGGGAGCTTAGATTTACTAGTTCCGTGAGGCTCTTGACAAACTTCTGGTAGTGGGCAAAATTTTAATACTCACCTGTGAGAGAATTCTGTTATTACGAGGTGCGCAAAGAACAGCTTTGCAAACGTGCCTTTCTCCACTTTGTGTGGTGTAGGTGGTGGTGGTCACGGTGTTAGTGAGACTGAGAGCATGGGGCAGGGCAGTTGTGTGTTGCCTGATCCCCAGATGCACACCCTTCTGTTTCTGAAGCCATGGCGGCTTGGGGCTCTGGCTCAGCTGCTGGTCTTCCTCTTCTCAAGTCTTCTTCTCTCACCCACATTTAAAGCTCTGTTTGTGCTTTCATTTTTGCTCAACTCCAGGATCCCTGTGGACATGCCCTTTCCCCCTCCCTCCCCAATGCCAGAACGTGGATATCTCTCAGTGCCCATTCTTCCCACCTTTCCTCTTATTTCCTCTTTTTGTCAGGGATCTGTGAAGCCACCACAAATCCCACCTTTCCTTCCCTTTGTCTAGGATATGTCATCCTGTGGCCAGCACTTTTAACTCCACCGTGACAGAGAAGAGAGACCGGGCAAGCTGCTGCTGTGTTATCCAAGCTGCACAGTAAAATCAAAGGCACGTAAAAGAGAAAAGCATCACTAACGATTTTTACAAGTCTGTCCAATATTAGTGTAATTGAAAAGAACTGCAATTTTGTTTTGAAGACCGCTTCAAATGTTGATCAGTATTTCTAGAATTAACTGAACTTTGGGGAAAACTCACAAGGTTTACAGATTTTGGTTTTGTCTTTAAAATGGTAAGCCACATTCAATCTGTGCTATAGTCACTGGAGAGTCTGAATGAAAAACAAAAGCTGAGGAGGGAAACTCATAATAATTAAGAAATATTCCCAGCTGCTGAATGGTTTCCAGGACAAATGGCAGGGAACTGATATGTCTGTGACACTGCGAGGTCAAGTGCACCCTCCCAAACCCATCTGGCAGTAAGTAGTATTAAGAAGAGTTGTTATAGTGTTCGGTGTAAAAGACTAAAAACTCACTGTATTCTGGGAATAGGACTACTCAGGTTGCAGGCTGAAGATCTTAGGGCATAAAAGGTATTAGATTAGATACTATTCTCTGCTTTAGTCTAACACATAAATGCTTTATTGTGGTCAAACTCAACTCTTGGATTCAGAGTCAGTACCGAACAAATCAAACAGAGATATCAAACAAAAGCAAACCGAAACCTCATCCAAAACACTCACTGAATAGACAGGTGGAGTTTCACAGGGCACCTCTGCATGGACCAGTGCAATGCTGTGCCAAGAAATTGGCTCAGGCCCAGAAAGCGGCCGCAACCCCCTTGGCATCGGCAGGGGCTGTGCCAGTGCCATGGCCAGCGCTCCTTCTGCAGGAGCTGAAGAGATGCTGCTCTCTGTTCAGCCACATCGTGTACCCACGGCGTGCGTGGGCTGCTCCAAAGGAGATGGATAAAGGAAAGAAAGCCAAAACAAAGTCTTAAGCCGCAAATAATGAAACATCTACAAAATGCTGGGATTAGGAAAAAAATGAAATCAGAAGTAAAACTGGCAGGACTAACTCATTGAACTACTAAAAATGAGGACTAGAACATTGTCCAGTTAGTTCCTTCTGGTAGACGTATTAAAATTAAAAACACTTTATTTGCCAGCTCATTTACCATTAAGTTTGTAACTTTAGTGACACATTAAGGGTGAACAGTGGTATGTTGCAGAGCTTAGCAGGTGTATCAAAGGACCAGCACTCACAGACTCTGAACCTGGTAATTGCAGTATAATTAATTTTTCATAGCTCTAAAATATGATATCTATATAAAATGTAAATTCACCTTCATTCTTAACCACTAGTTAATTAGTATAGCCCCACTTTGAGAAGGATATGAATAAATTACAAGGGAAATGACTGACTGCGTTAGCTTGTATGTCTCTGGCCTAAATCTTATAGCTGTATCTAATATTAGAAATAATAAAGTATGAAAGTCTGCTCTTCAGAAAACTATCAAAGAAAATGAAAAAAGTGAACATGCAAGTCAGCAGACAAAGAAAATGGGCAGGCTGTAAATGCAGCAAAAGGAAATATGTCTGAGCAACAAGATGGGCTCAGTGACTGAGCTAGGCTACAAGATCACTGGTGATGACTAGAATGAGATGGTTTGGGAAGAGCTACAGAAATTCTGCAGTAGGCAATTACAGATTCACCTTTCAAGAGGATGAATTTCTTTCAAACCCTTGTTACCCAGAGACTCCAGATCTGTAGTATGAGATTTTATGTTCTTTCTAAAGCTGTTTAAAGATAGTTAAGAGTTAACTCTGAAGGCTCTTATTATCTATAGATAGATCCCATTCATCCTTGAAGCCTGCTAAACCATTAGCTTCAGTAATATGTTGCAGTAGTTAGATGAAAACTGCCTTAAGAATAGAAGCAAAAAGGAGAACCTTTAGGAACTTAAAGAACTTAGGATTGATTTTGGTATGTACTTAACTCACAACGACACTGGCAAATAACATTTCATTAGAGAAGATATAACTAGGTCTCCGCACCCCTCAAAAAGAAAAAAGAAAAAAAAACCCACACTTGCAGTGATTTCTATGGGCTTTAGATCAGGAATAAAAAGAGAAAACACAGAATAAGATGGCTAAAAAAAGATACTGGCTTTCCAAACTCTGAAATAGCTCCCAGCGAATGGGTGAGATGATAAAAAAGATGCTACACGGTAGCTTCAGTGGTGTGGAAAAGATGGAGAGCTAGATTAATTTGCCCAAACCCAGGCATCAGGGGAGATGCTCTGCAGTACCTCAGCGAGCTGCTGCCGGGGGATGATGGACCCACGCCATGGGTACCAGCCCCAGGTACCCTCATGGGCTGTGTCCACGTGGAGCCGGTGGCCACCTCCTGTCCCTGGTGGAGCCGGAAGCCACTCAGAACAAGAAATGAACCCAGATCATTTCCTCTGATTATCTGTATATCAGACTAATGATTCGGTGATCTTAAAGAAGCAGTTTCACTGCAGTGAGCGGCTGTGATTCCCGTAGGTAAACAACTGAATGAATATTCTGCAGAAATTTCTGCACTTGATTATTTCAAGCTGTTTACACAGTTAGATACAAAATCAAATACAAGGAGTTGATTCTGTACTGAACTATTTACCTGAAGCCATTTGGTGACGATAGCTAATACTCATTACTCAAGGTAGAGCTCATTGCATTGCTTCATTTCTGTCATCATAATGAAATACTGCTTTGCTTCAGATCTGAAGTGTGGCATAAGCTTACCTTCTTTCTGACAGATTTTCTTCTGGATGTAACTGCTTCTTTATGCCATTCACCTCTGAGCTATATGTATTATTTTTTCTCTCTGTCTCTTTTTTTCCTCTTTTTTTTTTTTTTTTTCCCTAGTTTAATTAATATGATCACCTGGCTTATCAGAAATGACCTGCGCAATATACATGAATCACCTTTTTCAGTTGGTAAGCTTATTTTATGCAGCAGCTTAAGGCATTGTGCAACAGCACACAGTCTTAAATTAGGGCTGGCAATTTTCAGGGTATTAATCTGCTGGCATAATAGAAGAAATCAGAAAAGATTTGATAAGATAAAACTTTGTTCTTTCGTCCCATTTCCAGCTGTAGGATTTCAAAATGCTTTTGGCTACGGCTGCTTTCAGTGATGGCTGCTTTCAGTACTGGCTCTCCAGGCATCCTTATTCCAGTCTCTTAGGTGGGGAAGCCAAAGGAGCGGAGAGGGAAATTGTCTGAAGCCATTGAAAAAAAGTCTGTCAAAACTCAGCCCAGAATTTTGTGATCTTAACAGCGAAAGACCTTGCCTCACTTAAAGGCAACTGTCTGGGGACTGGCAAGAGGGGCAGAGAGACAAGACAAGTGCGTAGATGTAGGTTGTAGGTATGTGGGTGTTTAATTGACAAAAAGGCTCAATTCTGTAGCCAGAGCCCCGTGAAGACACATTTTGTGTATCTAAAGCTCGTAATGGTTCCAAAAATCTTTAAACTATTTAATTAAAAAAGAAGATATAGCTCTAGAAAACTGGGGCTTTAATAGAGTTGCAGCTTCCAGAGGTTTAAGTGGAGAATATGGGGAGGGTTGGGGGGGGACTAGAGAAGTCAGCCATGACCTTAAGTACTTGTTACTTTGAAGATGCAGTCCCCACTTTGTGGTCTGCCTAACGCGATTCACAGTGGGAAGACAGACATTTTGCCTGCACCATAACAGCTTTTGAAAAGGCAGATACCTTGGGCTGTCTTGCGTTATTTTTATTTTATGATTAATCATTAACTGATGCCCTTTACAAAATAAAAATCAGGCACAGCAGCTGGGTTATTTGCCTTTGAAAAGCTGTTACTATGCGCACAGCATGCCTTTCTTCTTGTCACTAATAATATCACAAAGATGTAAGGAGGGAAAATGCTACACTGACATCATTTCATGTCCAGTACAAATGAAAGTGCCATAAACATTCGGAAAACATATGAATAGGAACAGCTTCGTTGACAAATGCTTCCACTGGGCCATCATGAAGGATGATATCAAATGCGTGGTTAGTATGCACGGAGAGAGGCTCAGGAAGCATTTCTATAGAACTGTCAAGCTATTTTTTACATTTGTTTCTCTTTGCAAGTCACCTATTTACCTCCACATTTTTCCTATTTTTGTTCCTGAAAGAGCAATTGAAAAAGAGGTAGAACTCATTAGTGGATACGCTTCTGCAGCAAGACCTGAGCCCCTAACAGCATCTGTCCCAAGAATGTCCGTGCCCGCTTTGGTCCAGTCGATGTATGTGAAACCATAATGCGCGTGAGAGTCAATGTAAATTCTGCCTCAATTAACTATGCTGACCCTGTGAGAAATACCGGCATATAAAATGTGGCGGGGAGGCACTGATTTGAAAACCACACCATATAATAACATACGAGCTCCCACTGAAGTCAGACCACGGTCCAGTAAGTTCAGTGAGCTGTCCCCAAAGGTGGCCGGGAGTGGGTACTTAATGGAAGAGAAACTGAAAATGTGTGTAGTCATCCTACAGCACCCTTCCAGATCTCACTGGGAACATTCTGAAGCCTGGAAATGAATTCAGGATTTCAGCCTACGCTGGGGCATGGACAAAGCAACCGGTCCCTGATACTCTCTCACAGTTCTGCCAATCGATATTGAACACCTTGAGCACAGTAGGAAGAGTTAGGGGATAGCCAGATAGAACCGAACGTATTGCTAGACACTATGCAAATATTCATGATTTGCAAATACAGTATAAATACACACAGGCAGCAATGTGAACATATATTACAAGCCAAACAACTAATTCAGAGAGGCCAAGTGAGTGTATGGGTAACTGAGCGCACACACACACACACATATATGTATACATGTGTGCAGGGGTATATTTAAATACATGAGAAGCTTTGTAAAGAGAAAAGGAAAGTGAGCGTGAAAGAAAAGCAAGCATATGTGTGCATGGCTAGTTCAAGATTTCACAGCAGTGTGAGAAATAGTGATAGTATCACCCCAGTAATCCTTTGGGGTTCAGTTTTATGGTGCTGGTGACAGCAGCAGAGCACTGAGTTATCACCAAGAATTTAGGTGTGGCAGTCAAAGGTTGGTAGCATCCTGGGGGTTGATGGGAGCCAAGTCAAGGAGGTTTTAAAGTATTTTGAGCAGAATAAAAAGTTTGCAGCGGGGTCAATGGATTTGGGAGCCTGCCTAAAGGAGAAGGTGAGTGGGAGCCTGAGGGCAAAGTCCTATGAGAGGCTCTAGGAGTCACTCCTTCCCCAGGGGCTTTTTCTGTTTTTCTCAAATCGATGGGGTATGGACACCTACCAGCCTCCCAGCTGCCTTCTTCCATCACGAATGACCACCACCCTCAGTCCCTGGCAGAGGTGACCTCCCTCTCCTCCTGGTGGCCTCACCTGCCTTCTCGCTCTGCGCCTGCCGCTCAGGGCAGGGGAAGTGGCAGAGCCTCCCTCACTCCTAGGGGGGCACAAAGAAGGGGCTGAGGAACCACAGAGTGGGATTTTGAGTCCCTGCTTCACCATGCGTTGGCAAGATACCTGTGTCCTCCTTGCTTGCCTGATCCTCGGTGCATTATAACTTGATCTCCTCAGCTGTTTCCTTTAGATACGTGTGCCACACGAATGAGTGTTTTTGATGGACAGAGCGGCAGAGAAATCTCAAACAATTTATTAATAATAGTCCATCTGCACACACACAAAAAATCCTAGAAGCGTGTAATCTATTTAATTTTAAAATAACCTAGTCTCTCTCTCTGAATCCTTTTTATATTGTTAAATAAGATTAAAGTATAAATGATGATCTCCAGATCCAAATCTGGGTTTCTAAACTATCCAACTGCATCTACAACCCTGTCATGAGAGCACCCTGTCATCAAATGCCACATCTTTTCAAGGCAGCTCACATGTTTCTAAAGCTCTCCTTAGTAATTAAA